AGTGAGTATATCATGTTCTGCATGGAAATTCAAAGCAACAGTAAGATTTAGTGTTTAAGTAAATGTCTCAGGATTCTTAGGATTATCTTTCCTTACAAAATGTAGATGGAGTTTCTTCTTCACACCTGGCACTTGCATATGGGACAGAATCTTTACAGAAGTCTTCAGAAAGTTCAATCTCACAGGAAGAGAAAATATGTAGCAATATATACCAATATTACTCCCATGCTTACTGTTTGCTCTAATCCTGAATTAACAGTTGGCAAACACAATCAGGATTGTGACAACTTCACAGAACATGAATGTTTTTCTAGGGGAGGTTACAGAGTGGCCCTGTTTTGTTACTCAGGAGCCTTTCCTGAATTCCACTAAACTTCCTAAAGTTTAAACAGCACCAAAGGTTCAGCCTTGTGAAATTCAAAATGAGAATTCAGAAAAAAAGTTTGAAAACAAAAGGTTTGAGTCAAAAAAAGTTTTAATTTTATCTCCGATGAATTAATTTTTCCAAGTTTGCCAAAACGCATTCTCTGTAAAGAACCAGTCCTTAATACTGACTTTCATCACTTCTGAATCTTTTCAGCTCCCTTTACTGTAGTGCAAGGAGATACTTCATAATCTACAATATATACGTTTGCATTATTTCCCTTTGGAATATGGATCACAGGCATTAATTTGGATCAACAGATAAGACAAGACAATATCTCTACAATCATTAATAATAGATATTCTCAAAAGAAATGTTTCCTGAGGCACAAAACAAATACATGAAGAAAATGAAAGTGACATTGACATAAACAATTGTTTTTAGATTTGTGTTACAATAGTAACCTAAGGCAAAACCTAAACATTTGCAGAAATAGTTTGAGTTCTACCTCTGCTCAGAGAAAAAAGCTGCAGACCTAGACCATCTACTGTCTACAAAATGTGGTCTACTATAAGGTCTACTATAATACATTAATCACTCTCATTCTGGGAACTGCTTGGTGATATTCTCCTCCAGGTATCTTCACAATTAAGATATGATCACAGCCTGACCCCCCTCCCCCTTTTTTTCTCTTGTACTGTCTTCTCGCTTTTCTTGCAAAGGTTGAGAATTACTTTCCCCTTTTAAACACAAGCCAAATTCAATTCAAATGTAGTCAGAAACAACATTACAAAACTGATGATTTGGTATTCTGTGTTTATTACTGTTAAGTGACTTCCATATCAAATATACTCAGTGTACAAATCAAAGGACTTTGCTTGGTTTTCCTAGCTGCTATCTTTGAAAAGTTATCCTGGGATCTGCTAATTAAGCTTTCCCATGTCTATGACCTACGTTATCATCATCAGTAGTGATATTCAGTGTTCCAAAGTTTGTTCTTTTTTTTGATTAAGAGATGAAAGAAAACTAAGATACAACATGTTCACTTACCCTTTTGAAATAAAAACTTTTAAGTGAAATCCAGGAATATGCTATTGCTACAATCGTATGGATGTATAATTGCCCAAAGTGAAAATTTTACATCTTTTTTTGGCAGTACGTTGTTCTTGACATTATTGGAGAGAGAATAGTAGATAAGATGGGGGTCTATTTTGTCAGCCCTTCCTTTGTTTCTAAGCTAATCACAAAGAGTTCAGCCTGCAAAAAGAACTGGAAAGGAACCTATACTTTTTAAAGATCGATCAATTTAAACCATGCTTCTAAATGTGTACATCAGTCAAGATCAAGCAAGTGTGGTTGAAAAAGGTTGTGGTTTTGCAGGGGTATTTCCTTTGATTTAAGGAGCCCTTGCCATCCCTCTTATTATTTCTTCTGCGCCATCCCTTCATTGTGACTGTAGCACATCAAGCTGTGAACTGAATCAGGGAACTAATGCAACCTTTAAAAAGAAACAAACTGAGAAGGATATTAGGTGGTGAGAAAAAACAAAAGGCAGGACAGGGGCTGTTTAAGGAAGTAAAATTGCCAGAAGAGATACTCATTAAAACATGGTTTGTCAGACTGACAGATGATTTGGAGTTTCCAAGTCTGGAGCTTTTACGTATATACATATTTCCCTTTGTAATTCTAGCTGTAACTGAGCAAATCACTTTTGAGCTCCTCATTTGCTTAGGTTATTAATTTCATTATTAATTTCTCTTAGGTTATTAAATTCTTTAATGTTACGCAGTATTCTTAGGCAGAGAAAATTTAGAGTGACAGCTGTGTTTTGGACTTTCTGTTAATGAATGAAATTATTAAGTTTAAATGGATCTTGTTGAAATGTTATGGGAAACAATTTGCACAAAAAAAGGAGACCTTTAATGTCAACATAATGTTCTAAAGTTGAAATCTAAGAACTTCTTTATTTGAATGTTAAGACTGCAGTGTCCTTGCTCTGACAAATCTCTGCTGGCTTATTACTACTTCACTAAGGAGAGAGTGTGTTATTAAAAATTGAATTAAAAAAAAATAAGCTAAAACCAAACAGATTTTTTAGAAATGCGTTACATAAGACAGAAAGGGTAGAGGTGGAAGTCCTTAGAAATAATGCAAGAAAATAAAGGAAAACCACTAAACAGAAATGAGACCAGAGGAGAAAAAGTGGTAGAAGGGAGAGTGGGATAATAACAAAGGTATATACAGCTGTCGTGGTTTAGGCCTGATTGGCAGCCAACCACAATGCAGCAGCTCTCTCTCCCTTCCCCTCCGGCAATGAGAAGGGACAGAGAGCCAGGCTTGGGGTTCAAGATAGGACTGGGATGGGGAAAAATCCCCCTTTTATGATCACGAGCAAAAGGCAGATTCGTTAGGGGAAGAAAAAAAAAGAACATACATTTATAACAGACACTAACAACACATAACAGAGTAAGACAGTGAGAAGCATTGCCACATCTTGAGAACACCTTCCCCCCACCCCTCCCTTCTTCCCGGGCTCAGCTCTGCTCCCGATATCTCTACCTCCTCCCCCAGTGGCGCAGGGGCAGAGAATGGGGGGTGCAGTCAGTGCTGCCACTTCCTTCATGTTCGGTGAGGGGAGTGTCCAAAACTTGTTCCCCCCTGATCCATCGTGGTCCCCCTCTCACAGGAGACAGTCCTCCACAAACTTTCTCTGACTTGAATTCCTCCTATGGGCTGCAGCGTTCCCCACACTGCTCCGTCATGGGTCACTAACTTCCTCCGACTGGATTCCCTCCCACGGCTGCAGCCCTTCCCGAGCTGCTCCGGCGTGGGACTCCCCCGCATGCTGCAATCCTCACAGTGCTGAATTACAGCAGCGGGGCTACCTTTTCCCATGAGACCCCGGCCTTCTTCGGGCACAGAACCTTGATCAGCTGAGCAGGAGCAACAGGCCATAAATCAATGTCTGCTCCACCGTAGATCTTCATGGGTGGGGGGGGGGGGGGCGCCCTGCCATCTCACCACAGGATACAGGGGGGTCTCTGCTCCGGCACACCTGCCCCCTCCTTTCTTCCTCTGTTCCTCCACTGACCTTGGTGTTCATGCAGCTGTAGCGACTCCTCCTCACAAGTCCAGCTGCTCGTCACCACGTCCCTTCTTAAATACGTTATCGCAGAGGCGCAGCCGATTGGCTCAATCTCCCAAACAGAAGTGGAGCTGATGTGGAGCTGGGGGAGCTTCGAGAAGCTTCTCACAGGGGGCCGCCCCGATAGCCCCCTCCCCTGCCACCGAAAAACTCCACCATTCACTCAACCCAGGACAACAGCACTAAAATATCTGTAAAGGAGTCTTTTGCCATTAAATTGTATGTAATAATTGCAAATACAAACTAAACATTTTAAATACTGTGTAGATACTGGGACAAATGCTTCTGAACTGTCTTTCTGTTCCTCTCAAAAGTAATCAGCAATCTCTCTTGACATTTCAGGGCAGACATGGCCAACCTAATGATGTTGCAAGGAGTTAGAAAATTATTTTCTTGAGGGAAATTCAAACTTCTTTTATATGTAGGTTGATGTTTGTACATGGTTCATTCATGACACTGGAGAGCTATGTGTGGATCTCCAGGAGGTGTTAACCAAATAAAGAACCATTTTTGTTGCAAGGTGTGCTGTGGAAAAATCAATACAAGTCTTTCTTGGAAGCTCTTCATTAATGATAGGTCATCTAAAATCTCTGTAATTTCTAGTATTGAGGTAACATTTTGCTTTCCTATTCTGTATTTGGAAAATGCTGAACAAAATGTGAATTCTTTCCTGATTTATCATTGATAAACCTTTCATAGGAGCCTTATTCAGCCTGTTTTTTTCTAAGACACAAGATCTGGAAAGACTGTCTAAGAATTACCCCTGACGAGAACCAAGAAAGAGGAAGTACTTATGTATATGTGAGACCTCTTCAGCTAAATAGGGTAGCAATCCTTTTGTTTTACCAGCAAAGACTATAGCAATCATGAGATCTTCCACAAGCTCTCTCTAATTCTGAAGTCAGCAGTTAAATATAATCTTTGGAAAGAATGGGAAACTCATACTGAGCCTACATCTAAAGCCAGATTTAGATTGAAAATTACATTAGGGACAAGAAATATGTATCAGTCTTCATTGGTAGCACTATCTTCCCTGTTTCTATGTACAAGGATACGCTGGAGTAGCTTGGTCATTAACCCTGTGGTTGTCAAATTTCACCCTAAATTGCTACATGAAGAGTGTGTATCAGCATTATCTGTGCAAATGCATATTAAGTATTGTATATTCTTAGCACTTGATTTAGTAGTGCTCCCTCTGGAGTTTTATCTTTGTGCCAATAAACCCGACTTATTTAGAGCTGTTGGCTCTGGTCCACCATTTCCTTGTTAAATGTTTAGAATTTGTAAGTGTTGTGACCCTTCTGCCAATGCAAGTAATCCTAATTCCAGCAATTTACACTTGTCACTTCGCTTTAAACTCCATTACCACACACTGAAATTCTACACAAAATGGCTTGGAGACCATTTAACAAATAACAAATTGGAGATAGAGGGATTTTGTCCCTTATGTCACAATTAATTATTTATTGGGATTTTGTTTTTGTGTTGCAGAACTGTGACCTGGCCCAGCAGAGTATCGTTCATATTGTTCAAAGTCCACATAACAGTCAGAACAATGACAAAACAGAAGATAACGGTGCTGAAGGTATCCTAAAAGCCTTGGAAAGAGAACCTGAAAGTCTAACTCGCATAGATCTCAGTACCAGCATCCTGCCATCAGTCTCTGCAGGCTTGGCTGTTATTCTGGATACTACAAAACCCAGCATTTCTCTTCCCTCTGAAAAATCAGGTAAACTAGTGATTTGGTACAGTTCAATACACAGACCTGAACATTTGTCTGTTTCTTTCTTAGGGTGAACAGTTCTATACCACAGGAAAAAAACCCAACATATGGTCTCTTAGTTATTAAACAAAAAAATTCAACTATTTTAAGAGGTGATAAGCATCTGATATGTCTTCTAGTAAAATAATTTTGCTTTGTGGATAAATGGAGTGATTTCTTGTGTTGTTCCTCTCTCTAACTTTTATTATGCTAATATTTTTACAAATTATTATAAGCTGGCAAAAACCCCGGAGGTCTATGAGAAGGCAAAAAATAGTCTCTGTAAAATTTCCGTTACAGAAGTTTCCTTAACTAGAAGTTTGGGCAGCTTATGCATTGCAAATGTGTTTAATTCCCAATCTGTTGTAATATTTTCATACCCATACATTTTGTAAAAAATATTTGTATACAATAGACTTATTATTTATAAAAACATAGCTGGCACAAAATATGATGATGATTCATACTGTGGATTTTAGTAGTTCTTCTCCCACCACATTATTACTGAGAATATCTTCTCTTCATCATGAAAAATCACCTGAGGCACAAGTTAAGTTATTGCACATGGGTTGTACTATAATATTTAAAATTGTTCGTGAGAGAGAAGATCAAGTCAGAAGAAAATATGAGAATCTTTTAGCTGTTACATGAATCTTCTCAGAGTAACCTCCTCCTCACACACAGTCTAGCTAACTCTTGCTGACAACTATGTTTGTCTGCAGTGTAATACCAGATTCTGTCATGATTTGTGGGAATAGTCTATCAGAGATGTCTTTTTTAGAAAGAACAGTATGCAAATACCCTTTACACGCAACATGGAAGATAATAGCAAACATATAGGTCCTGAGTAGAGAAGATAATTTGTGAATATGACAGAGATACCTCTGTGACTAACTTGATCACAGAAATCATCATGCTTAACAAAAAGGCTACTAAAACTGTTAAAATAACTTCTAGAGAATTTCTGAACTTACTCATGCAGAAAATATACAATTCATGGGTGGGTCACAGAAGTATTCCACAACTGACTTGATCAACCTCTTGCTGCCAACTAATGATGAATGAGTGCACTTTAGGAACAAATTAGTACCCAGCTTAATGATCCACATCTCCTAATCTGAATGAATAATGAGATGAGGGGTGCATGCCTGTTTAAATCTGGTAAACTAGGGACAGGGTTTCAGGCTGAGTTTACTGTCAAAAGCAAAGCAATGATTTGAGCTTTTTAATGCTACTCCTTATTTATTTTTTCACTACTGTACATGATAGTTGTGCTTGACTTTACAGAATAGTTTATATTTGTGTAAGGCCTTTTGAAATTTGTCATGTGGTATGTTTTTCCACAGATTACAAACTCTGTGAAACCAAGTACAAAGTGATAGGTGTCTTTTATTGCAGCAAATATTTTCATGGCAGAATGACAGCTGAGGAAAAAATGCATTGAGAATATATGTGGACTAGTTGTATCTGTGATTAAGTTAAACAGGGTTTTTTTTATCATAAGAAAAAAAACTTAAAAGCCACTTTAATGAGTGACAGTTCTGCTTGGAAGCATGTTAGTAACAAGTGCTTTATAAAGGACTGCTATCTTCAGCTTGGCTTCTTTTGACTCTCACTATGAAAACTTCTCCTGGGTCTGTTCAGTCTCAAAACTTTTGATCAATATGGGGGATTTTGGTGTTTTTGTTATTAGGTTAATTTGTAATCACATAATTCAGTAAGTTAAGGAGTGGTCTATGTTGAAAATAATCTAGCAAGAAAAACAGGAAAAAAAAAAGACTAATCCAGACATCAGTTTTCCAATCAGCTTTACAGTATAGTGAGGATTTTCTTTGGCACAGCTGAAATGAGTAATAGTAGTGGGAAGGAGTGGCTGAATGCTGCACGTTCTACCACTACCTCTTGAAATACTTATCAAGCTATTGTCTTAGAAAGTGGATGGTTGTTGTGGTGATTGGTCTACAGTAGAAACCTATACAACTGAACCAAGTATAATCTTTTATTCTGTGTGTGAGAGATCACACACAATGAGTAGAGGACAAATTTAAACTTAGAATTTAGAGGCAGAGGATTCATTAATTGTTTATTGTTTAGTCTAACATGCTCCACAGCTATTCCATAACTGTAGTAGTAAACACTAAGAAACTTCATCTCTTCCCGAAGCCTAAGTTATTTCTGTTTGTTACCACATGATGCTGACCCTATGGCTCTGCCCTGTTTTTGTTTTATTTGACCTTCTTTGAATTCTGAGGAGAAGGTTTTGTGGTAACTTTTGCATCACAAAAGCTTCTCCCAGAAAGCTTTGAAGTATTTGACAGCAAAAGTAGTATTTTTAAAATACTGACTTGAATGCCTGGAGGTCAATCCGTAGAATTTTACCAGACTATCCAGGAGAGCGACAACTCTTGCTACGTTGTACTGCTATTTAATAAGTCATATAATTATGTATTGTGAACTGATGCACTTGATCAGACAAAGCCCCTTATAGCCTGGCATCCTGTCTCCACTAAGGGACATTATTTGCTCCTTCCAGAAGAGCATGACAGGACATCTTCCTCCCAGCTTACCCCCCCTTTACTGGTGAGCAATAAAAGCAACTCTTGACTGGTCTGGAGAACCGTCTTACTTTGTGTTTTTAATGTACAATGTGTGTTTGTCTATGAGAAATTCAGAAGTTTGGAAGTCAATGACAGGCTGAAAAATATATGAAAATGTATCTAAATAATATCTGCATCAAAGGTTTCAAGGTTTTCTCACTTTGCAGGCAAAGGTAAGAAATGCCTTTTTCTGTCTGCTGAATAACACCTTGCATGATTTCTAATGAACATGTGAAAAAATCTCAGCACAGGACTTTCACCCTACCTCACCCTCACCTAATTTACAATCTACCCAATATCTGGGACAAAATGCTATGATAAACAAGATGTAAGCAAATAAGCTGTATTTCATAAATACATGTATAGAGCAAAGGGATTTTGGCATGAGAAACCGTGAATCTGAAAAACATAAGGGCTGGTATGGCTCATCAGCTGAATATGAGAATGCATCATGATGCCAGGTCCAAGAAGTCTAATATGATCTTTGGAAGTATAAACAGAAAACAGACTGGAGTTGAGAGTATGTTTTTCCTCTGCTTTTGACACTTGCCTAACTAAAATTGGAATATAGCGCATCATTTTGATGTCTAAACTTCAAGAAAGCTGCAGAAAAAAACTGTTAGAATGTTCAGAAGAGTTGCAAGAATCCTAAAAAAGTGCAGGTCATGATTGGCTTATATATGTTGATATAATCTCGTGGCATCCATGGGAGTAGAAATTTGATAACAGGGGAGTCTTAGATCTTACAGGCTATTTCAGTATTTTAGCTTTCATTGTCTGGAAACTGAAAACCAGCAAATGTAAATACCACACACACATTTTAACTTGCCTTGAAATCAACCATTGATGCAGGTTGTCCTGGTTTATAAGAATTTTCAGTATTTGGCCATTTAAAAATAAATATAGGACATTTTTCTGAAACTTATGTTCAGCAACAAAGATTGGACTTTGTCTGGAAGTAGTATGGACTGTGCTAGGCAGGAGGTCAGACTACAGAATCACATTGCTTCCCTCTCTAAATGTATTTATCAGCTACCCATATCAAGCAAATTTGTGATCTGAAAAAGAACAAACCCAAGTTTGTTTGACAGCATCTGTTTTGCATAAGCTGATGTTAATGTTGTTACCTATTTATTTCCCAGTTTAATGCATTATCAGATGATCTATTATTTTGTCTGAATTGATTACATGTGGTCATCATTACTTAGGTCTATTTCTTTACAACTTTTAAATAGCACTCATCTGGTCAGTTCCCTAGATGTGTTATCCCAGTGTTCTTCAGCTAGTCTTTTAAAAATACTTGCACACAAGTTGCCTTTGTCTCCTTATCTTTCCATGTTCCTCTTTTCATGAAAGAGTAAATAAGATACTGATATATATTGGCTTAGGTGTGCCAAGCTGTAAATTCCATCAAAAAGAGGTTTTAATTATTTTCCTAGGTTTTTTTATGTTTTACCTAAACTTAATGCATGTTAAAACCTCCTGTCCTTACAAATAATACAACTATGAGTTAGGGCAGGTAAAACTGTCATTACCTAAACCTCAGTATTGTCAGTGCTTAAAAGCTTAAAGTAATGGGCTGGTTCACAGCCTATGTAAGAGTCTGATATATGAAAGACAGGCAAAAACTTTTAAAAGAGAGCCACAATTTAGTGTTTGGGTAGTTAGAACCGTGCATACTTCCAGGAGAAGCTCTCATGAATCAAAAAAAAAAAAAAAAATTAACTGGGGATACTACTGACACTTTACAAATACTTTTTGAATAGTATTCTGCTGATTCTGTGTTAAAATTCTTGTGCTCTGTAATTGATATTACATTTTATTATGATTCTTTTAATCAAAAAGCCTAAAAGGATAAGAATTTTTGTGTCACGTTTGTTTGAAGTAAATGAGTAGTCTAAGCTCCTGAAGTATTTTAAAATTCTTGACAATTTTATAAAACTTATAATGTCAAATTAGTTCCAGATTGGGCAATGGAATTGTGTACATCTCTATCTTCCATTTTAATGTGATACTAGGCTGAGTACCACTACCCAGTACCAAGCTCAGTAAAACTGAAGCTTTTTCTTATTCCCTTTTTGAGAATGTCATCAAAACGCAAGCACTGATCCATCCAAAATGGCCTCCAGCTCTGCAAGAACATCTCTGTTGATACTCTGAAACATGAAGCTCTGTAAGTGTTCAGCAACTGCACCAGACAAAACTAAGAAAACAATGAACTTATTTTTCCGTGACCTAATTTGGCTTTGCTGTGTCACAAAACCAAATATCTAAGAATTTACTATTTCCTTAGAGAAGAGAAAAAGGATTTTAAAAATTTCTCTCCTGCCATTTAGCTGTGTTTTTACATGGGAAATTAATCAGTATAAA